TCCAGATAGGGGCGCAGCTGATGAATTAGCCGAAGCTGGAGGAAAGCACTCCTCGCCACTGCTGTTACCTGAGCTTCCAGTGAAAGCTCTGGGTCGAGGAGCACTCCCAAGCTGCGGACCTTGTCCCTAAGAGGGAGTGCAACCCCATTCAGGACAAGGTTCAATTCACCCTCTCCGAAGCCCGATCCACCAACCAACAGGACCTCCGTCTTGTCTGGATTGAGCTTCAGTTTATTGGCCCTCATCCAGCCCATTACCTCGGCCAGGCACCGGTTCAGCACAGCCACTGCCTCACCTGGATTGGTGGAAAACGAGAGGTAGAGCTGGGTATCATCAGCGTACTGATGGTTCCGCAGCCCACACCTCCTGATGACCTCTCCCAGCGGTTTCATGTATATGTTGAACAGCAAAGGGGACAAAATGGACCCCTGCGGTACTCCATGGCATAGCTGCCATGGCGCAGAGCCATAGTCCCCCAGCACCACCTTCTGGAACCGGCCATTGAGATAGGAGCGGAACCACTGCAAAGCAGTGCCTCCAACCCCCAATCCCGCAAGCCTATCCAGAAGGATACCATGGTCGATGGTATCGAAAGCTGCTGAGAGGTCCAGCAGAACCAACAGGGACGCACTCCCCCTGTCCTTCTCCCTGCACAGGTCATCATACAGGGCGACCAAGGCAGATTCAGTACCGTACCCGGGTCTGAAGCCGGACTGCAATGGGTCCAGATAATCAGTTTCATCCAAGAGTGCTTGGAGTTGTCCCGCCACCACTCGTTCTAACACCTTGCCCAGAAACGGGATGTTGGCCACTGGTCTATAATTAGTGGCCATCTCTGGATCCAGTGACGCCTTCTTCAGGACCGGTCGGACTACCGCCTCCTTCAAAGGGGCCGGCACCCGACCCTCCCTCAGAGAAGCGTTAACCACTTCCAAGATCCAGGTTCCAATCCCGTGCTTGGAATCATTTATTAACCAAGACGGGCAAGGGTCCAAAAGGCAAGTGGTTGGACGTACTCGCCCAAGCACCTTGTCCACATCATCGGGCCGCAATAACTGAAATTCATCCAATAAATCTGGACCAGACGGCAGCATTGGTGTCTCCTTTGAAACCTCTGAATCAATAGTGGTGTCCAGCTCGTGACGAATCTGAGCGATTTCTCCCTGAAATGCCTGGCAAAGTCGTCACAGCGGGTCTTTGAGGGTGGAATCAGGTCTTCCTTTGGACCTGGACGGACCAGGCCTTGCACCACTCGAAAGAGCTCCGCCGGACGGCATTGTGAGGAGGCAATGGAAGCGGAAAAGAATCTCTTTTTTGCCGCCCTCACCGCCACAGCATAGGCCCGATAGTGGGCTCTTAAGTGTGTTCGGTCAGATTCATCTCGTGATTTCCTCCACCTACGCTCTAGTCGTCTCCCAACCTGCTTCATCGCCCTCAATTCAGGAGTATACCAAGGGGAAGAGCGGGCTCTGCCCGGTGGGAGAGGACGCTTAGGAGCGATCGTGTCTACAGCCCTGGTCATCTCCCCATTCCACAGTTCGACCAGAGCCTCGACAGGAGCACCCGTCTTGTCAGCCGGAAACTCCCCCAGGGCCTTCAGGAATCCTTCTGGATCCATCCGGCTCCGGGGGCGGACCCACATAATCGGGTCCGCACCCTTACAGAGGGAGAAGTCGCTCTCGAGCATAAACCTCACCAGGAAGTGATCTGACCATGACAGGGGAGTCAAGCATAAATTACTCACCCTCAGACCACCCTCTTCCTGCCCCGTCGAGAAAACCAGGTCCAGAGTGTGTCCCCGTTCATGGGTGGGGCCGGTGACATGTTGAGACAGCCCCATGGCCGTCATGGAGGCCATGAAGTCCTGAGCCGCCCCGGTCAGACTAGCCTCGGCATGGAGATTGAAGTCCCCCAGGACCAACATCCTGGGGGTCCTCAACACCAGGTCCGAGACAGTCTCCGTCAGCTCAGGCAGGGAGACTGTTGGGCAGAAGGGTGCGCGGTACACCAACAGAATCCCCAGTCTGTCTCGGTCGCCCAACACCAAATAGAGACACTCCAGCCCTGGTCTCGAAGGGACCGGAAGTCCCGTGAGGGAGATGGAGGCTCGGTATACCAAAGCGACCCCCCCTCCCCTCCCCTCCAGCCGTGAGCAGTGCTGGACCAGATACCCGGGCGGGCACACTTGGGAGAGAGCAACATCCCCCCCCTCTCCCACCCAGGTCTCCGTTATGCAGACCAGGTCGGCCCCCTCATCCACAATCAGGTCCTGGATGAGGGCAGATTTGTTATTGACCGACCTGGCATTAAGCAACAGCACCGTCAGGCTGGAGGGGCGACTGACGAGACTCCCTGGCACCCTCTGGCTGGGAGCAAAACCAGAAGTAGGGACAGGTGTCAGCCATCTGTCCCTCCTTCTTCTATGCGGACACGTTAAGCTCCCAACGCTGTTACGTCCCCTGCCCATAACCACCTCAATGGCGGCACCCGTGCGCTCCCCAGGAAACATAAGCGGCAGCATGGCCAGGGACGACTCCATAAAAAGATTTAAAATACTACTAAACACACACACACACACACACACACACACACACACACACACACACTCACCCCTCACTCACAGCCCAGCAGGAGGGCCTACCATCGCCAAGCGCAAGTTAGTGATGTTGCACAGAAGAAAATACAGTTCAAAGGGGGGTGTGGCTGTGGGGGTGGGTGGTAAAGAACATCACTGGCTGCCAAAAAATAAATAGAATTTGAGGTCTATTATTCACTGCTAAAGTTGTTTGATGCCTTTGAGAATGAAATTAAGATCAGGTAATTGGCATGTGAAGGTAATGGCTTCAGGTTTGTGACTGCTAAGCAACTGGGAAGAAATATGTTAACTCTCCGGCCTCCAGCTCTAATACTTGGTTTTCAAAGAACATACCCAATCACACAGATGGTGCTTGCACTTTTTAATTATTAAAATATGTATGTTTAATTTGCCATTCTCCATGATTACAGTGAAACTAACTTGGGGAGAACTTGATGGTAATAGCTGGGAAAGTTCTGTTGCAAACAATTCTACCTACCTGCCAGTTCTCTCCTGCAAAATATCTTCTTCCAGCTGCTTTTTCTTCCAACCAGACTCCAGACTCCAAAAGCCAAAATATACCTGCCTGAGCAGGAGTGGCTGAAGTGGGTTACCAGTTTCAGGTTGTGACATTTGCTTTCGCATGAAAAAAAAGCTCTTCTAAATTAGGAACAGGCTGGAATTTAGAGGGATTTTGGCATGGGTACAAAGGAAGGCAGAGTTGTAACTCCTCATGCAACAGATAATGTTGCTGTAGAGTCTCTCAGGAAGTGGTCTCATACTGAGCCAGGCCATTTGTCCATCTGATTTAGTGTATTCTTTCCTGCACTGCATCAACCAGGTTCCAGACAGTTTTTCCCTGCTGTGTCTAGGGTTTTTCCCTGCTGTGCCCACCTGCTCCACCTGTATGGAGCAGGTGGGCAATACCCCCAGCTACCACCTTTCCCTCAAATTTTGCAGAGCAGTTCCTTGGATATACAGTAGGGCTAAGAGCTGAACTCAGTGACATGGGGCTGGGGGGAGTCCCACAGCTGTAAAAAAAGTCTTATTTCTTAATTAGGCTAGATTGCAAATAAGACTTCCTTGTAGATCACAGCACAACCTCCCTTGTTAGGATTTGGAAGATGTTTTGAATGGGTTTGCTTTCTACCGAAACATTTGAGCTTGCATTTCACGGTTATGTCCCTGACCATTCATCACCTGAATGAACCTTTGGCAGTTAAGTAAATTAAATATTTGTGCAAGTAGTTTGATTTCGATAAAAACTGCCAGTGGATGGAGAGGACTATACATTTGTCTTCAATTACATCCTACCTCTAAGATGCTATACTGAGTTCTCAACTATTTTGGGATGCTGGGCACATTGGGGATATTGGGAAAGTAGTGTCATGAGCATGGTCACTTCACAGAAGACAGACAAGCTCGGAGATGAGGAAGTTTCCAAGAAGCTGACTACATGGATGCCCCCTTAAGCATGCTTACTCCCACTAACTCAGCAGGGCTTACTTCTGAGTTGACTTACATAGACTATTCTGCACATACCATCAATCTCTTTCTCTTGAGGTTGGGCAGATGCAAAAGACAACAGGAGGCCCTCTCTGTCACTCTGACACACACACGTCCCCTCCCTCCTAACCTTGCTGCAGCTGATCCAGTGGGGAAAATGTCTGGATTTGAGGAGAATGTGATAAAAAAGACAAAGATCCGAAGGAAGCAGGAGGGAAAGGTGGGGGAGGAATGAAATTTAAAAAGGCCTAAGAAAATTAGCGAAAAGGAGAAAAAACAAGGGAGATTGATGGGGCAGGGTGTGGGGAGAAGCAGGTGGGATGGCTGCTCCTCAAGCATGGTCCATGCCCTTGGCTTCAATGTTTCTAGCCATCTCCCTGACTGCCGTGTGAGGTGCCCCTCGTCATGCCAGCTTCTTTGCTGTCAGAACCACCCAGCTGCTGCTGCTGCTCCCTCTGCCCACATTTGTTCTCCTTCCACACACTAGCACACCAACTCAACATACTCAGTCTCCTTTTCGTGCCAGTACCAAAGCTGCTCCAATTGGAAGGGAACGATGGGCGGGTCATGCCAAGCAAGCAAGACATGAGCAAGCCCTGCTGTGGCAGAAACCATGTGCGCTGCAAGCCTGTGTGGAAGGGAACACATTCCATTGTGGGGTGCTTCTGTGCGGTGTTTCCAGGAACCATCCTGGAGAGCCCAGATTACTATTGGAAGTTGGAGCAAGAAAGCTATCCTAAAACAAACCTGGTTTACCACAAGCTAGATAATCCCACAACAGAATTAATTCTTTCTATTCTTAATGCCTGTGCATTTGCCTGCTTAGAGTTTGGTTACCAAGCACTGCTCCCTTTAGAAATGACACTACTTAAAAGTGCTTCTTAAAAGTTCTGTACAATCAACTGGATGTAGAGCATGATTAACATTTGACATTAATTTAATCTAATGCTAGTAATTTAGTCCGAATACATCTACTGCGAATAATTGAGGTTAAGTATTATTTCTAAATACTACAGTTTGTCGCCAGACAGAATGAAAGATGGGTATTCCTGTGCATGGTTACTAGGAAGCAAGCCCCACTGTTTTCAATGGGACTTGCTCCCTAGTAATCGTCTATCAGGTGGGTGCCTGAATGCAAGATGCATAGTAGACCATAATAAATTACTAGTTTTCCTAAGTCGTCAAAGCACTTTTGTACGTATTATGAACAAATACATGTCAATGAAACAAACATCTCTGGGACTAAATATACACAGTCTTAGTAAGTCACAGCGATGGGAGTCTATGAGGAACAAAATTAAGGAAGACTGCATGGCTGTTGTGAGTATCCTCGTCTTTGGATCTGACACTGGTGAACTAATGGGAGCAGCTTGCCCTCCTGATGAAGCCTCTGGGTGTCTGTAGCACCTCCCACAAAGTTTCCATTGATAAATATTCTGGGAACCTGTTGAGCACAAGGAAATCCATGTTACTTCATAGCCACAGGGCTCCAAAGTGCATGTTGCATATGCCGTAGCCAGTATTTGATTGGAAATGGCCTGGATGTTGCTGGGTGCTCAGGGAAGAGGCAGAGGATATTGGAGATTCCACATTGGAGATAACATGAAGGTTTCCCCAGAGAATGTGCTGTGCCAGGCTTGGCTGGTACTTAGAAAAGCTTGTCTAGCAAGCTTCCTTCTCTGCAGGAAGAAAGGGAAATGGGTGCCACAAGGCTGGAAGATGCTATGGGCAGGGTGGGAAGATCCCCACCCTTCTGTAAGTCATCTAGTGGCTGCCACCACAAAAACAAATTATGTAAAACAAAACACTTTTCATTGGGGATAGGATTGATAGACCCTTCTGATGTTTCTGCTGTACAAAATACTCACTGTCCTGCCACCAGTCATTTGATGAAGGATGTCTTGAAACTGACTTCCATTTTCATACATGTCCAGTTCTACGGCTGTGTAATTCACATTCATATCACGAAACAATTTCTTTGCCATGTTGCAGTACGAACATGTCGTTTTTGAGAAGATGACTACACAGTGGTCTGAGATCGCTTCCTGTGAGTTTAAATACGTACAGAATTATTTATTATTAGAGCCAAAATGAAATTGACTGATGGCAATTTGATACCACACCCCAAATGTAAATTTAGAACTTTAGACACGAAAATTGATGGCAAACAATGCCAATCGAAATAAGTCCACTCAGAAGTAAGTCCCACTAAGCACCATGGGACTTATTTACATGTAAATTACATGTACATTTACATGTACAGGATCATAGCCTGAGTCTCAAGTGTCAGTCTAAAAATGGACTGCTCAACATGTCAAAGAATCCGCCACCAAATAAACCTATTCTTAACCCATTTTCTTTTGCTAGCCAAGAATCTTAGATACGAACGCGAGAGCCAATGCTGCACGATGGTTAGTGTTGGGCTGAGGATCTGGGAAATCCAAGTTCCTGCTCCCATTCAGCCATGAAGTTCACTATGATTTTGGGCCAGTCATAGCTCTAAGCCTAACTGACCGCACAGGGTTGTTGTAAGGATAAAAATGTACTGGAGAAGAACTACGTAAACTTACTTGTGTCCTTTGCAAAAGGAAAAAAGGGAGCAACATAAACGCAATGCTCAATTGCATTATATACAGGAATGCATTATATAAAATGCTCAATAGTAGTATAAATTGCAAGACAGTAATAAATTGTCGATTCTCATCTCAGATTGCCTCTCTCTCTTACTGTGAAATCCTATACATGACTACTTAGAAGGCCCATAAAAAACAATGACATTTAAATCTAGCTAAGCACACATAGGATTGCAGCCTCAAAAGTAGGGCAGGGAGATGTCTGTTTTCACTTAGGAAAACACAAATATATATTCAACATATTTCCATGTTAAGGTGCAGCACATGGCAGTGGTCTTCCACACTGTGGTAAGGAAAATGCAAAGTGGAGCTCTGATTGAGTCCATATTAATAAATGCAGCTAAGTGTTGCTTAAGTGTGCATTTGGGGAACAAGATAAACTAAAAATAGCTATTTAAAACCTAAGGAAAGCAAACAGTTGCAAAGTTAATATTGTGAAAATGTTTGCGTCTGTTCATGGATGAGAGAATGTCTTGTGGAATCTTTCTAACCATAACCATAGGCATCTTCTGCTCAAATAAAACCACAGTACAGGTCTAGGACCTGTGTCAGACAAGGCCCACTTTTGCCAGCCTTCTCCAGAGTCCAAATCCGAAGCTTAATTTGTTTTAAAGAATGTGTCGTAGAAATATTGTCTGTTTTTTATTTTTTGAATAACATCTCATTAAAGTCTTCAAACCAGATTAAAAATTATATGAAACAAACAGAATAGTAACATTTATGTTCAGTAAGAGCATCTTCACTCACCTTTATCTGGTTAGCAGTGGCAGTATTAGATAAGTCTGTAGAAGCAGAAGTACTGTTCCCCATCCTAAAATAAAATCAACAAGACAAACCTATTTTGTAGAACGTTGACTGGATTAAGGCTGCTATGACTTAAGGGCTTACCTGGGAATAAGCTTCAAAGAACCTGATGCAACTTACAAGATAAATACGAGAGCACCGTAAAGTTCATGGAGGAAAATGTGTAATGGAAGCACAGGCCATAGGACTGACACTGGAAGCTTATGTCTACTCAGACATAAGCTCTACTGAGATCAACAGTTTGCTCCCATGTAAGTGTCATAGGACTGAAATGTAAGGGCATTAAATGACAAGCATGAAACAATGATGCCTTAGCTACATCCCACTGAAAACCTTCAGAAATTTCAGCAGAAAGTCTTCCTATAAGGAAACTCCCTCGTTTCAGCAGCTTCTCTGTCTACCTGTCTGTTTCTGAGGTAGAGTCCAAAGTGCTGGTTATGACTTACAAAGCCCTCTATCAAAGGTCTCCTTGTACCCTTGTATAATGGTGGCTGTCAAGAGGTCTCCAGTGGGGACCTGCATTTTAATTGCATTCCATTGCTTACGTAAAAATGCACGTACATACATGTATTTCAATAAATCCATAGCAATGAATACAAATAAATTGCATACAATGTTTTAGCAACTGAACAAAAGTGGACCAAATCTTGAAATGAATATCCAGTTCAGTGTGGTGTCTATATACCTGTTCAAATATTGAAAGCATTGCAAGATCTTCAGTCCAATGTGTCACAGGTGGAGGATGTTTACTTTCCAGGTTTTGTAATATCTGCCCGTAAGCAGTTAAAAGGGTGAGGAGAACCTATTTCCACTAACTCCTTTCTGAAAGAGATGGTTTAACTTGGAGTCCTACACTGAGAAGGAGATTGGACCCAATGGCCTTCTTGGCTCCTTCCAACTCTACTATGCTATGATGCTTTGATTCTCAGACACGGGTAAATAGAAGAATAATAATAGCAGATTTACATGAACAGCCTTAACCTAGACTTCTTAGGGTTTACAGTTATATGCACAAATCTGGGATTCAGCTAAGTGTTGCTGCATCTCTGTACTCCCAGTGACACCAGTTTCACCCTTTGAGCTCAGAACTCACCATTCACAGGTGGGTCACGAGCAAGTCATCCTGCTTTATATCTGCAACCTGGTTTTGGATTTGGTGGGGCACTTTAGCAGGAGGCAAAGCTTCCCCTCGTGTTACTGAGACTTCTGCTACCAGTTTCTTTGAGGGATTAAGAGCAGCTTCTTTACACATCTAGGGATCATACGCAGTGTCTAGTGTTTTGTCTTTAGAAGGCCAGATACTGAAGATGAAACTCAAATAATATGGCGACCTAATGAGAAGGAAGGACTCACTGGAGAAGACCCTGATGCTGGGAACAACTGACGGCAAAAGAAGGAGGGGAATAATGGTGGCTCTGGAATCCCTGAACTCTGCTCAGTCTCCTCATCCTCACACATCAGACTCCATTCTTTTGGAGCTTTGATCTACTGACAACAGATTCAGGCCAATTAAAGCCAATCACCCCATTTAGTAATTTGGAATTAAACCTGAGAAATCGCAATGGGTGTGGTGGTTGTCGTTGTTGTCGTCGCTGCAACCAAACCAGTTTGGCTTCCTCTCCCTATGAAGTCAGGCAATCATGCTCATTCCTGTTCTCTCCCCACCACCATTTCCCCTGGATCTGTTTCTGCCCCTGTGGCCCACAATTTTTTACTAGCACCAAGCTTGCCTTCTGCTTTCCTGTTCCCATAGCACCAGCTTCTTCTCCTTATTCAGAAATGGAATGGGTGCATGAACCAAGCTGGTTTTCCCTGCAAGGAAATGCATGTGTGAACAAAACTCTGTTTAAAAATATACAAATAAAGGATTGAGTTCTGATCTTAATGCATGTTGAGCCAATTTTGGAAGTAGCTACCGTAATTTTAGCAAGCGCGTCAGTCTGCTGTGTCACACCACACCTTTGGTTAAGGTTTCCTAGACCCATGATGCACATCATATATGGCCAGATTTAAAGTCTCTTTTGGAAGGAGTTGGGAGAAAGTTAGAGGTTTGTGCTCTTAAAGAAAACCCTTAGAGCTCACTACTTGCTCTTCAACTAGGAGATAATAAATGGGTCTTTCCCTCCCTTCCATCAGGTTAAGAAGCCTGGCTCATCACAGGACTTTCCTGCAAGTCTAACTCACTCAAAATTTTAACATAGTCATCCCCTTCGACTGTCTCCGCTATCCCTCTTTCTTACCCTTTCTGAAATACAGATATCACTTCTTTTTGTTCCAATTACTTCTCAGTATACATATTACTTCTTTCTTTTGTTCCAATTTTGACTTGCCACTGGACCCTTTAATATCTCCACCTGTTCCCCTCTTTCCAACCATATGGACAATGATCTGTTATTTCACCTACTTCCTGGACAAATTCCTTTAGAATCTACACCTTACTTGCTGCTTTGCCTAACCTCCCTTACAGTGGAAGTTACTGCTCTTTCTCCAGTGCCCATTGCTGAGCAAAAGCAGCAGAAGAGGAAGCATTTTGCGGTAAAAGGCATGCCAGGTGGCCAGTCACTGAAACAAGCCTCATACGCTCAAGTTTGGCATGATCAGAGGACATACTCAAACCCCTAGAGGCATGTATGCCTGGAACTTCTGTGTGTGTGTGTGTATGTGTGTGTGTGTAAACAATAACATGTGGGGGTAAGCACCCCACAGAACAAATCTGATCCTTAAGGTGGGAAATTTGAGTATTACCTGCATACTGGTGAGACCTAAGACCAAATCTCTGGATGGGCTCTGCCAGCAGTTCCATGTAAATATTAAGCAATGCAAGGCAAAGATTACTCTTTCCAAGTTATCATGACCACCAGTACTAAAGACAGCCAAAACAATCAATGGGATATCTCTTTCTCAGATAAAGATCATTTCATAGGGCAACTCAGGGAGCTTCTTGCCTGAAACCAATCTAGGCCAGCCTTCTCTAAGCTGGTGCCATTGAGATGTTTAGGACTACAAATCTGAGCATTCCTGACTATTGCCCATGCTGAGTGGCATTGATGCTGAAATCTGAAAACATATGGAAGGCAACAGATTGGGGAAAGACTGATCACCTCATCCAAGAGTGACCAAACTGGTTGGCCACCAGTCCCTTGACAAGTACTCAGTGACCAATTGTGGAAGTCTTCCCTCTAAAGCAGGCAAAAAAGGATTCTGGCCACTGGCAGTGATGACACTGCATTAATTATGGGAGCCTAGTCATGATGAATATGGCTAATTTTACCCTCAAAGTATCTTGCAAACACACTGAAGTGTACTATTCAGGATTCTACAAGGCCAGCTTCAGATCACTCAGAAAATGAGAAAATACAGTCGTGGTGGTGGTGAACTATTTCTCCTTCTCCTTCATGGCCACAAAGCCATACTTATCTCTCCTTGTCTGGCTGCATTTCAGCCATCTTCCCACTTTCTTCATTGCCCTCAGCTCAGGCACATAGCAAGAAGCTACATAGACTCTGTTCAGAGAAAAAGCACCTGGGAATGATTTTGTCAGATGTCCGAGCCATCTCTCCTTTCTGGAGGGCAACCAGGGTATCAAAAGTGCACCAGCCATAACAGCTGGAACACATGTTTCCTGAAGGACTCTCACTAATTTGGCTAATATTTTTTCTGACATATAAGCTTTTCCTTGAAGGAGAAGGAGAACCCATGAACATTGTTATATTGAAAAATAAAATGACATAATCAACATATACCGATTATATTACACATACTAATTTCTGAGGTAAGACCACCACAACAGTTTGAATGCCCCTCCCACTCCTTCAACTTCCCTGGTGCAAAAAAGTCTAGATTACCATTGATCTTTCTGGTAGTCTCTATACTATTGATCTTTCTGGTAGTCTCTATATCATTGATCTTTCTGGTAGTCTCTATATACAAATATACAGTGCCAATTTCAAAGCAGCATCAACTCCAGAGATCCCTAGGAAGACGTGACACTTGCGACCTTTCCCAACCAGATCCAAAACTGAAGGAAGCTTCCCCGCACCCGGCAAAGAAACTGCACAGAGTGTGTGTTTCATAGTGAGTGCTTAACGTCTGCTGACTCATGCTCCATCCACTAGCAACTGCGCAGCATCCCAAGGGCTACTTCTTTGCTTGTCACGCCAAGACCGGGGGACCCACGAGGATCCGATTTTTCTTGTCAGAAAGCTTCCTGTTGGCCTGTATCACTGCCTGTCTCGGCTAAGTAGGAGCTGCCGTAGCTTATGCACGGGAGAGGGCACGGTGCGCTTCGCACACGCTCAGAGGTGCTCACGCCTCGCACGCTTAAGAGACTCTGGGCCTAGCTCCTGGCTCAGTCGCTATGCCTCTCCCCTACGGCTACAACCGGAAGAGGAGAGCCCGAAAAGCCCCGCACCAGCCGCGCGCGCCTTCGACACCCACCGACCTCAGCCAAACCCTGGCACCGCCGAGCCGCCGCAGCGCCCTCCACGCCATGAGCCGAGGGCGGAGCGCCCCGCGCTGGCCCCGCCCACTGGGAGGCCTCTCCGCGGTCCGGCCCGCTCCGCTCCCGAGGACCCCACTCCCCGAGGCTAGCCAGGAGAGTGCCTGCACAGCGTCCTCCCGCCGCCCCTGCGCGCTCTCCAACGGGCTTCCTCGGCTGCCAGTCACGCTCGCGCCCGCCCCCCGGCGGCGTCCGCGGGGCAAGGAGACCGGAAAGGGGCGGGGCGCCAGGGAGGCTCGAGCGGGGACTGGGCCGCTTCGTCGCGTGCCCTGGCGAGGCGGCGGCCGCGGGCAGGCTCCGAGCGGGGGCGGCGGCGTCCTGCTGCGCGCAGGCGCGGGCGCGGGCAGGCGCCGGGGTCCTCCTTCGCTCGCTGCGTGCGTGCGGCGTCAGGGCCAGTCGGTGGGGCGGCCAGGCTGACGCTCGCCCGCCGCCTCCTTCGCTCGGCTAGTCAGTCGCCGCCGGGGCGGGCGCCGCGTCGAGGGAGAGGGGGGCGCGGGCCGAGACGATGGCGGACGTCCTGAGCGTGCTGCGCCAGTACAACACGCAGAAGAAGGAGATCGTGGTGAAAGGCGACGAGGTGATCTTCGGCGAGTTCTCCTGGCCCAAGAATGTCAAGACCAACTACGTGATCTGGGGGTGAGTGTGCGGGGCGGGCGGGCGACGGAGGGTCTGGCTGGGCACGGGGCGCGCGGCCGGCCCGCCCGCGGAGGAGCGCGGCTGGGCCGGGCCGGGCCGGGCTAGGCCACGCCACGGGTCCGCCGGAGCCCAAGCACTGGCTGCCTGCCTGCCTGCCTGCCTGCCTGCGGGAGCTTCCAGGCGGGGCGTGCGAGGGGCACCTGTGATTCGCCCCTCGCAGGCCAGGGCGCGTCGGCTCCGAGGGCCGTTTCCGCGGCTGTCAGGTTGACGCTCCGTGTCCGCTTGTGTTGGCCTCATCCGCTCCCTGCGGTGGTCTGAGCCTGGGCTGCTGCCACATCATGCACGATGTAAACGTGGTGGGGGGCGGGAAGGAAGTGTTGGTGGAGGCTGCCGTCTTCTGCACGCTTGCTTGGAAGCATGGGCTGCGCAGTGCCGTCGCACGTGGAAGAAAGGGACTTGCTGAACCCAAGGGTCATGAATGGGTCGCGAGGGTGAAGTGCAGTGCCATCTCTTGTGGAGTGAGAGCTTTTATGGGTCCTTGTAGAGAGTTGGGCGATCCCAGGAGAAACCCATTGTGCACGTACCCAGAAGAAAAGCTCCACTGAACTTTGCAAGGGTTTTTCCAGAGTGATAAGATTGGCAGTGAGGCTCTTGCTGTATGCTTGTTTATTTAGGAGTGTTGTGCTGTAGTGCGCAAGAGTTAAAGTGGATGAAGTGTTTTCTGTTATTTCAAACCCTGTGTCAGGGAAAGATTCACTTCCTTAATTTCTGTGAGGTCAGTAAGTGGGCCCTTTAGGGAAGGGGGGAAAAAATAAGGAGTTGACAGCTAGTAAGCAGCACTGAGCTCCAAAACATCTGAACTGGAAAAATGTGGCAGCACTTGTGCTTAGTTCTGAGTCAGGATGGCTAGAATCAGTCTGTAGGAATCTCCTCTGCTTCCTTCATACACATACTTTTCATTAGTGCAAGTAAAGAAGTAATTAGCATTGCTTGGCTTCAATATTCTTTAGCTTCTCTGGAGTTCCGATTCTGTATTCTTAGGGATACATTGAGCAGATGGAAAGTAAGTACCAACTTATGGATACAAAGAAGTTGCAAAGAGGGGTAACTAAATTGCATTTAATTATCCCAAAGTTGTGCAAGGGGAGCTTGGAAAAGAATCTGGACAGGTTTAATTAGAACTGTGTGTGTTGCGGGGGAAGCATGGTAAATAACTTGGCATCTTACTGAGGAAAGACAGAGAGATAAGTGAAATCCGTGTGCTTTGTTCCATTTGCCAGGTAGTGTGCATATATTTGTATTCTGAAGCTGATAATTCTTTTCCTGCCTCTCATGGGAAAGGAAAGGGTTGGGACAGCTGACAGATGATTCTGATGTCTCTTCCTCCTTGCTTTCCTCCCTGTTATCTTCTGTCAAATCTTGGTTTGATAGGGTTGCAGGGCTACAAACCGAAAAACAAATACAGTGTTTGAACAAGTTTCTAAATGTGACTTACTGAGAAGAAATTGGGTGCCCTGATTTGTATGCTGGACTAGGACTTGTTACCTGCCTTCTGTTGAGGCAAGTTCTGCCGATAACTTTATGCTGGTGTACAGCTTAAGAAAGAAATGGCTGTTTGCTCCATTGCAAGTTTTCTGGCTGCTGCAATAAATACTGCAGGCAGGGCACCTGTCCTTGGGTGCATAACTGATGATAAAAAATTCTTCCATAATTGACTTCTGCAGCATGCTGATTCTTGCATTATTAAAAGAGTGCTTTGAATGTTTTTTCCTATTACCTCTTCAAAAACTTGGTACCACTAAGTTACCAAGCTGGGGAGTATCTGGGTTAAAATTTTGGCTGCTTTAGCTTGAATAGAGCTCAGTGATTAGGCAGGTCATTTGGCCTCAGTCCACTCAATCTATAATAATATTGACCTGTCTTATAAAGCTGTTATAAAGTTCACTGAGAGCAAGAGTGTTTTGCATTAATAAATCTGAAATAGTATCGTTATGTGTATCCTGCCTTTCCTTCAAGAAGCAGAATATCACTTTTATCATTGCAATCATCTTTCAACCATACGGACAGAGGTATGGTGTGTGCTCCAGCACTACCTGGTCTGTTCCATTACTGAGTAGGTTTTTGAACAAAGCTACCCACAGGTCAGATTAAACACACAGTTAAGTTACCACATAAATTGTTTGCTAAACATGTTCTGTGCTAGCACTAAATAGTTTCAAGATTACTGATCTTGTTTTTGGTTTATCTCTTGTTATGTTGTTACTTTATTGCACATGCATACAAACTTCTTTCCATCAGCCAGAGCTTGGTTAGGAGCTATGTAGAATATCTCGGTGTATAAAAAAAAAAAAAAATTGCACTGAGATACTTATTTGTGTTAATTTGTTTCTGCTTAGTTTGAACTATTATGAGCTGGGAAATGCATGTTGCTCTGAATTAAGAAGGTGAGATGAAATGGCCCTGGAGTTCTGCATTCCTTCCAGAATAGTACTTGATAAAAACTCTCTGATCCAGTGACAGTTTTGAGTTTATCTCATAGGGCCCACATTAAAAAGCCTCTTGTTCCTTTCTTTCCATCAGCCAAATTACATCCACATGTCTGGAAAGATAAAACACTGAACTTTATTTGGGGGAGGTTTTGCTTGGCTCTATACTTGCTGTGGAGGGTTTGTTTCTCTGTCTGCCCAAGTGTGAGACCAGATTTTGTTTGGCCCCATACTTGTCCTAAAATAGTTGTTGATTCTACTTTGTACCTGTTACTTTACTTTTCAGAAGCTCCTGATACTCTCAAAAACAAAGCAAAGTTTGAGTGGCGTAGAAGGGCAGTGTAAAGGATAAACAAACACACACAAGATTGCTTAGATTTCCCTTATACTGTTTTTAGAATTCCATGTATAGTATAGCTTTTCGTTTTCCATTAAAATAGTATGGTGTGAAAGACCCACATGGAGGGTCTTCGATATATCTGGACAAATGGAGTGTGGAAATGCCTTTGGAAAGAAGCAACCACCCCCCCCAGTCTGTTTATACAATAATAAGAAGCACTCTATATTGCTGAAGACAGTGTGCCGTTGTTTACTGTGAATTGAAGGGTGGCAGTGATGAGACAGGTTGAACTGGCAATCATTATCTAAGCTTTCTCCTGTCAAAATTAATGAGTTTGCTAACATCAAAAATATGATCCCACATTCCTTATGCTATTTGTTCGGGTGTATATATAGTCTTTTCTTGTAGCAATGCAAATCAACTTGAAAGTAAATACTGTATATACTGGCATATAAGATGGCCCTTGAAAGTGGAAATAGCAAGGCAAAAATCAGCCATCTTCTATGCTTGGTGAAAACTTTTCATTGTACAGTGGGACCCCCATATCCATGGAGGATGGGTTCTAAGCCCCCCAGTAGATGCCTGAAACTGCAGGACCCTCACGAAAGTGAAAAAACCACAATATTTATTTATCTATTATTTATTTCAGACATTTATATCCCATCCTATCGCCAAGCACTCAGGATGGCTTGCAAAATATAAAAGTGCAATATAAAATATATATTTTATATCCCTGGGGGAAAAGCTTGAATATTTCTAGAGATGCCACACTCTTTGTCTCAGCACTAGCCAACCTCACTTACGTGTTTTGTCTCTTATTGGATGCAAAAACTCAAGAGGTATTTGCTGTTTTTTGCTAGAGATATAGCCTCATATACCGGTGCATAAGAGGACTGTTGAAACCAGAAATAGTGGAGCAGAAAATGGACATAGTCTTATACATCAGACATATGATGAACACTAGAAAAACAACCCAAAATATTGACCTTCTCTTACAAGGTATACTCTTGGGACCGTCTTGTGCAGAGGAAAATCTGGATTGAACTAAATGCAGTGACTCTGGAATACAGATGCAGCCCTATGCAGCCTGAGTTCTGAGTAGCCATGCATTAGATTGCATAGTAATTTAGTTAAACTGTTTAGTGGCTGTTTGAAATTAATAGGATTTAGTTCATGACTAATTTGTCCCATTAGTTTCAGTTGGACCCAGGTTCAACTTACTTAGTCTGGAGCCAACCCAATATATATTCATGGGAAGTTGTATGGCTCTTTTGATAAGTGTATCTGTAAATTATGCGTTTTTGTCCAGTCTGTCTCCCTGTACACCCACAAAAGTAAAGTTTGAAGTGCCCCAATATTGGACACACTAGGAGCATATGGTGATAGAAACCAAAAATAATTTTGGGAACAAGTAGCAGCTTGGTAGATTTTAATTTTTAGATTTGTGGCTAACCTTACTCATAGCTCTCAAGAGAGGTAACAGCATTATTAAAAGCATATGTGTAATGCAGATGGCAGACATGAAGAGCAGATGAATGATGGTATTTTGGAGTGCAGCATTGTAGCAATGGGGTGAAGCAGCCAAAACAACTTCTCTAAAACTTTGAGTTAAGGGAACCTTGGGCTTGAGTTGCCAGGCTGTGATGGACTTTCTAGAAGATTTAAGATTTCAGGGTGCGGTCGAGGGCATAAGGCTGAAGTATTCTCGTCTGCAGTATACTCATGTTTGCAAACATAGCCTCAGAGTAGGTTGGTTTAAATCAAGTTTCTTATTGATAGTACTTAATATCATTTCCCAGGTGAGTGTACTAATCTGATCTCTTGGCATTAGTAGTTTGCAATGCACTTTTATTCACACAGTAGTTTTATTCCTGCAACTAGGCTGTGCATTTTGTTCTTTCACAATTCAGTTTTTAATATACAGAGGCAATGTTTAAAATACATTAGATCTTTCTTAAGACCTACTGGGCAGTATTGTTTTTCCTTCTTTCCAGTCTCGCTACTTTCTGTTTCAATTCTGCCTTGACCTCAGCTTAACCCTACAAAAACAAAATAGCAGGCAAGCATGCAGGTCATGATTGAGAGGTTCAGATAAAGTGTGAGAGTTACTGTACAAACTAGTTCACGTTATTTTCATTAGGTAAAAGTGAGAATCCTAATTTGTAGATAGTTTG